CTACGTTATCTGATTCTTACAGCTGCTTCAAACTTTGCGCAGAATTTTTTTGGCGGGTGCATGCTTTTTGTTTTTCAAAACCTCCGCTAAGCAGCTTCTCTTTTCCGCGCATTACTTTGACACAATCATCACCTCGGTAGCCACGTCCGGTTCACGAAGGGGCCTGCTTGAGGCCACAGTGAGACTCGCGCCCGAACGCGCCCCCGTGTCACGCTGACCGCGAGGACAGGGGTGCTTCCCGCCAGTAAACACGAAGAACTCATTTTCAGTTAGTTTTCTGACAGTAGAATTGAGTCCCTTTCTGTCTAAATTTGGAAGGGACGGTCAATATTTTGGCAGTCAAATACTGATGAATTACTAAAAGGTAGTTTTTCTTCGTATTTTTATAGGGGGCAAAAACAGTTTTTTTTTGGGGGGGGGGAGCTGGTGCATACTAACTGGATTATTGCATACTTGGAATGGCTGCAGGCTACAGGGGCCAGGCTCCTTACGGCCAAAGAGAGTAGGCAAACCCGTAGAGTGGAAACAGTAACGATTCTCAAACACACCGCTACGCGCTGGACTGGAACTGACACCTCCCCCCCCCCCACTCTCTCCACCTCCATAGTCACTCCCCACCACCACCGCACCAACTCCTGACCGCTACTGACCGGCCCCCGTGAACCCTACCCACGTGGCATATATGGTACAGTCTAGTTGGATGCACCAGCCCAGCCCCCAGCGTACTTACGTGAGCCGGGGTCCCCTCCTCGTGCGCAGCATTGCGACCCCCGTGGCACTGTGAGCCTCGCTTCTCTAAGCCCACCGACCCGCCGCACCTCCAGGAGGAGAGTGGGGGTGGGAGGGGGATGGGACTGCTGATGGGGCCCCGCCGGGGGGTCTCGCGTGTGCCCCTCGTGGGGTAGCGGGGCCCCGGGGAGGTACGGCCCCGTTGGGTGCCAGTCACCGCTGCGACCCCCTCCTGCCCCCCTCTCCCTCTACCCCCTCAGCTCTGCGTTAACGTTGGTGTGTGCCCCCGTCAACCTGCTAACCCTCCCCCCCCCCTCCCCTACCCCGTGTCGCCCCGACTGTGACAGTGATTTTTCGCAATGGTTTGTGGACGCCGCAGGAGGGGGGGGGGAGGGGGGCAGTGCCCGAGTCAACATGTACCGGAACCTCGGACAGTTGGCATGTTGGCATTGATCGGAGTATATTTCTGATGATCTCGATTTAGGGATGTGGAAAGGAATAGGCTCTCCTATGAGGACAGATCCCCTCGCAGACCCCACACGACTTCAGGGGCTCCCGTCTCTTGCGCTAGTGGCCTTGCGATACACCCG